TGTTAACTTCCAGGACACAAAAAATCATATCGGTTTTCCGGAAAAGCGCATCTACATTGGCCACGGACGCTTTTCCAGAAAAGCATCCTGCCAATGTAGACACGCTTTTTCCGGAAATACTTATAACGGAAAACTGTTCCCTTTTAAGCATTTCCGGAAAAGGGTGCCAGTGTAGACGTAGCCCGAGTATGTCTATACTGCAAGCTTCTTTCGGAATAAGCTTTTCCATAAGATATCTTCCAGAAAAGCTTATTTCGAAATAGAGCATCCGCACTACAGGGAAGCCTTTAAATTAGTCCAGGGCAGGCTCCCCGAATGTGGAGTCAGTATCTCGATTTAGAGCCGCAGAAGGCAGTGGGGAGGAACAACTTTAGAATGGCCCTGGTGAGGAGCTATTTCGACATAGCAGCAATGGAACATCCACACACACCTTCTTCCAGAAAGAAACAACTTTAGAATGGCCCTGGTGAGGACCTATTTCGACATAGCAGCAATGGAGCATCCACACACACCTTCTTCCGGAAAGCTTTTTCAGAAGAGGCATTATTCCTTGTGGAATAATGTCTACCAGCATTAGAAAAAGCCATCCGTTATTTCAATTTTCTTTTGAAATAATGCAATTGCAGTGTGGACGCTAGTATTGTTTTTCTGGAATAACAGTCGTTATTCCGGAAAAACAGTGCAGGATAGATGCACCAGTCGTTATTCCGGAAAAACAGTGCAGTATAGATGCACCCACAGAGAAAAGTGGTATCTCTGGGCTGTAGCTTAATTATGGAGCATGGTGGAGGAAAGGCATGGATTCACACAGAGAAGTTTAACCAAACAACAGAAACAAAGACAAATACCCTGATCCAAACTAATATACATTTACCTCCTTATTTACTCAAAATCCACAAATACCCTGATCCAAACTAATATACATTTTCCCTCTTATTTACTCACAATGCTTCATGGTCCAGTCCACTTTCATGCCCCGAATTCCTTGGAGGCATGGTAGTCCTGCATGGGTTTAAATCATTCTCTTTCTCCCAACTCCTGGCTTAAACTCACACAAAGAGAAACAGCAGCAGGTATATATTTACAATTTAAATTTCAGCACTATATTCCATTGGTTCTTCTGGCTCCCTGCCAACAGCACCCTTAGCTACTTGAGTTTAACTCTTTAATCTCTGAGTGTTGGCCAGCACTCCTCCTATCCATCACAACATCTATTTTAAATAAAAATCATTTTATAGTCAGCTCAATTGCTGCTTGAGGCAGAGAATCAATTCATAGAATACTTGCTCACTAATAGATTTTCAATAAATAAATAGATTATGTATTAAAATCTCTCAGATTCCTTTTCAGGTCAACTAGGTTGCTGCTGCTTCTTCTTTATTCTTTATTTTTAAAGGATTTCAACTCAATAATTACCTGCTACAGCTGATTGTCCTCAGATATTCTAATGACCAGTATGAAATTGATTTTGATGACTTCCTAAACTGCTTAATTCGCCTAGAGAATGCAAGCCGTAAGTATCCATGTTTGCTTAAATCATATGTATGACACTCCCACAAAGTTTGGATTGTAGCCCTGGGCAAGGCTCATCCACAAAAAGATAACAGTCTACTGTTGCAACAAGATAGAGGAGTTACTCCTTTAGCTCAAGAAGCAGAGGTCTGCCCTATGAATTTGAAGGTCTCGGTTTCAAATGCTGTCAGTGACCCACGTAAGAGATAGTTAGATGCACACTTGTGCTGACATTACATGCTTTTTTAATTATTTTTTGGGGGGTTGACTGAAAAATATCACCCAGCATGCAGCTATGAATTCTGTTTTTCAATTAATTTTTCTGTCCAGATTAGTAGCAATTAATAGGGATGGGTAAATCAGCCTCTGACTCTGGCTCAAAACTGAGATTAAACCCAACCCCTTAATGAGGATGAAAAACAGTTTAGTTAACTTTTTAAATATTATTATTAAGCTTTTTGCTTCTTTTCCCTTTCTGGTTCCAGTCTGTGCTGGATATTGAAGGGACAAAGCACAGAGGGAGTAGGTATTTTTGCTATATTCCCACCATAAATTTTCAGAATAAGAAAATACAGATAGTCTGCACAGAGGGAGTAGGTATTTTTGCTATATTCCCACCATACATTTTCAGAATAAGAAAGTACAGATAATCAGGATAAAATTCAGACATCTATTCAAATCTCTGGATGTGTCTCACGCCCAAACCACCAACTGTGAGTTATTTCTGAAGTCCAAAATTCAGACATCTATTCAAATCTCTGGGTGTGTCTCATGCCCAAACCACCTACTCTGAGTTATTTCTGAAGTCCATACTCAAGAAAAATCCCATTAAAGTCAATAGTCATTTTGCCTTCACAAAGAATTCAGTTTTCAATACATTCTTCACCAGTCACATATGATTAAAGCCTTTATAGAAAACCAAATCCTTCCTCTTTGGAACAGCCACAAATGGGGCTTCACGGTGGGACAGATTGCTTATGTGTATGAATGTGATTGAGGCGTTCTTATAACTGTGATGTCCTGATGTTTGTTTCAGGAGTATTCCTGGAACTAACTATGAAAAACAGAGAATTCATTAACCTGAATATAAATGAGGTATGATCATAATTTCATACAAAAACTGACAACCTGGAGATCTGTTCTAGACCTTTCTTGCTTTTTAAAAATTGGGAATAGGTGCAGCACTCAGAGGGTGAAATCCTAGTCCTAGTGAATTCAGTGGAGGTTTTGCCATTGATTTCCGTGAAACAAGGATTTCACCATTATTGCATAACTCTGTCTCCTGCAAGGTGATTTCTCACCTTCTCACCCCACTTCATAGTCACTGCTCCCTTTTTCTCCTCCTGATTCTCTCTGGTCTCAATTCACTGTTGGGGTAAATGGGTGCAGCTGATTGGAGCAAAATGCCTCCTGGTTCTTCCTAAATCATTGAGCATCCAGACCACCCTTTACTCTAGGGTGTGCTTTTGTTACCATCCTACTCCATATCTTCTCATTGTTGCCTTGTGCTCCCCCTCTGCCTATTGTACCTCTTTCATTCTCTTTCATTTCACGCTTAGATTATTATGAGCTCTTTGAGGCAGGGCTTACCTTCCTTTTAACTACAGGACTTAATGTTCAACAAATTCCATGTCAGAGCATGGAGAGGGGTGGGTTCCAACTTCTGTCCCTGCCACTGGGCATGAGTACATTTTCTTCTTAGGAGTCTAAAGATTTTTTTTCCTGGTAATAATTGGACCAAAATGTTTCTCTCATTTACACTGTTGAAAATTCAGAGCGATTCCAGCAAAGTCAACTGAGTTACTTTACATTTATATGTGTAAGGGTATATCTACACTACAGAGTTTTTTTGGAAAAATGTCAATTTTTTAAAAAAATCTTCCCTACAGAGTTTTTTTGGAAAAATGTCCATTTTTTTAAAAAATCTTCCATTATGTCCACACTGCAATCACATTCTTCCAAAAGAAAAATCAAAAGGACAGAGGAGTTTTTCCAACATTGGTAATCCTCATTCTACGGGGAAGAAGCTTTTTTCTGAAAGAGCTCTTTAGGAAAAAGGTGTGTGTGGACGGGGAAGAGGGAGTTCTTTTGAAAGAAGAGGAAAGAGGAAAAAGCACAGGTGCCCTGGTGGCCACTCCATCCATAATAATCACAGGTTAAATGCAAGATAGCACCCATTCATGGACACTGCCGAAAAAGCAGATCACTTTTTCAATGAGCTTTGGCAGTGTGGAAGATTTTTTCTGGAAAAGCTTCTTCTGAAAGAAGCCTGCAGTCTAGACATAGCCTAAGTGAGGGTATGTCTACACTGCAACACTATTCCGAAATAACTTAGTCCATGTCTACGCAGCAGGCAGTTATTTTGAAATAGTGTCAAAATATTGTCAAGCTGGAGGACTTCTCACTCTAACTCCTGCAACCCACAATGTACAAGAGGACTTCTCACTCTGACTCCTGCAACCCACAATGTACAAGGAATAAGGGAAGTCAGAGTGCTCTGTTTTGAAATAAGTGCTGTATAGATGCTCCCTATTTCGAAATAAGCTATTTTGAAATAAGATACGCAATTGACATAGCTCAATTTGCGTAGCTTATTTCGAGTTGAGCCCTGCAGTGAGGGTGCACAGTGAGAGAAGAATTTGTCCTGTTGCCTTTCTTTTAGTCATGAAGAAGTGCGTGAATCTCACCATTACCTTTGCTGACAAATATTTTTATTGATTACAATTAATCTAAGGCATTGGTTCTTTGGCACAAGTATCACAATTCCCCTGCCTTGTAAGCCATCAACTCAAAACAATAGGGTACTGTTACAAGGCCTATCATCGGGCACCTGGGATTTGATGATGGTGGCTGGGATTATCAGTCATAACTTTTGATCTTTATGTCTCTAATAGTTTATCACCCTTGCAATGAACATTTGAAGATCTCCAACCTGGATTTCAGCAAGATCTCTTGACTGGGCCACTCAGACCTCCAACCAAAGAGCTGTTCCCCTTTCTGTGCAAATGTATACAAGTGCTACGGTGCAAGGGGAACACTTATTCTTCCCACTCCTTCTCTTCTCCAGTCCCGTTGCATTAATGAATAAAATCTTGATGGGATTAAATTTGCTTTAGTTTGTATAAAGATTAATATTGATTGCTACAGTGTAAATAAGCATTTGGATGGGGCGCTTGCACATTTCAAGCAGCCTGAAACTGATATTTGTGAGGGACCAATGCCTTTTATGAAGTGTAGACATGTTGCCCCAATATACTTATTCATTGCATGGAAACTCTCATTGTTGCTTGTCCACAGCAGTGTTTCTCAAAACTTTTTTTATAAAGTACCCATTTTTTAAAAAAATTATAAGTACCTCCCCCTACCTACAGTTTTCAGATACACACATTTTTTTCTACTATTGCAACACGTTTGTTTAAACAACTTAATCGTAGCCGGGCAGGCGATGAAATTTTTGGGTGTAAAAAGTAAAAAAATAATAAAGCGCTGTAAAACTTAAAACAAAAATTCAGTTTTCTGCAAATTTCAGTTGTGTTGACGTATCCCCCACACTTCTCTTGAGTACCCCAAGGGTACTCGTACCACTGGTTGAGAAACACTGGTCTACAGATTACCACAATGCTTTTGAAGATATAGAAGCCTGCAGAAATTCATTACAATGGTATTGGCCTCCAAGTGGGTTTTGCCCAACAAACAATGGACCAGCATTACAGAAGAGCATCCCAGGGTGTTGCGAATCAGGGTGGAGGCATGGTGTAATAGATGAACATTTATCCTGGAACGTTTATCCAATGGGGGCTGTGAGTCTGGCTTGCTCAGAATGGGGTTTGATCCATTATTTGGTCCTGTCTACAGTCTCACTGAGATGCAAACTATGTCCACTTACTCCCCTTCATTCCATTCCCTAGCACCAGGCTGACCACAATGTATCCCACAAGGCAAATACATTTCACAGAGTTCTACCATGCAGTCAGTGGCTGTGTTCACTTCTATATGGATGTGTGGCTCTGAGACCACCGGTGCCAACATGCAGTGCTCCAGCCTGAGCTGAGCAGCTAGGACCTGAGTTCCACATAGGAAGGCAGGTGGCTGCATTCTGTTCCGTTTTATGCAAACTGGGTCTAGTCACTCCTGAAGCTTCAACTCCAACCCAAGCCACAACTTCAGAGCACTGTTTACACGGCTATTCGTAGAGTGCTAACGTGAGCTCTGCCAGTCCAAGCCTATCAACCTGAGCATGGAGGCTCATTCCCACTGGCTCCAAATTGCTGGGTAGACAGGCTGTGTCAATCAGTCTCCAGGTGCTCTGCACTAGTGGTCATGTAGCTTTGGTGTTCAGCTTAATTATTTTCTAATTAAGTCAAAGTCCCAGCACATCTCCAGGTTTGTTCCCTATAAGTACATCCACAACTCACATTTGCTTTGTAATAAATCATCTAGGCTGAGTTTGTTTTCCAACTCATTTATTGCAGCAAAAGAAACTTCTGTAGAGTAACTATTCATTTCTGAATGCCCAAGTTTTGTCATATTGAAGTAGCCAGGGCTTTTGTTTTGGACCTGAGGGCCCCACAGGGAGTTCTGAATGGGAAATCAAGCTTTAATTAAAAAAAATAGTGAGGTTAAAACAATACAAGTGATATAGCCGCTTCTCTGACTGTAAGAACATTTTCTGCTGCCTGTGTAGAAGATGCCTCTGGAACTTACTGCAAGGTGGGCAAAAAGCATGGAGACGCTTTACAGAATTTAGTAAACCAAGGTGTGGCACTCTATAGCGTGAGTTTATTTTTCTCAGACTGTGTATCCCTGTAACAGCTATGGGCAAAGTCTTCTAACTTTGGAAAAGTTTGGATTAAGACCTAGAATTCAAACTCTCAGTTTCAGCATTTTTTCAGATCTGAGGTTTTAATTCATCCTACACAATGTCTGGATCTGGAGTTCTACTTTGGCGCTTCAGTTCAGGTCCTTCTCTATCCAACATACATTCCTTCGCCATCCCCCACTAAAAATCAAACCTATAGATGCCAGGCTGTCAAACCTCCGTGTATCATCGGGGCTTAGTTACTATTTATTAGTGGTTTGTATCACAAATTATTTCTACCACAATGTTATCAATGACACAGAAGAAGTGAGAAGTCACACTACCTGGTTTTACATCTGGCTCTTTCTCTACCAGGAGCTGGGAATGTCTTGGGGGAAACAGGAGTGGTAGGAGAGGCCAAGGGTGTCTTTAAAAACAGCTAGCTCTGCACTGAAAATGACAAAAAAAAAGTCAAAATAGAAAAAGACACAAAAAGCTTCCACCACCCAGTTTGAGGAGGGACACCTGCTGTTTGAATCACAAAGAAGCAGAAGACCAAACACCTTGTTAGTCTAGCTAGCCTCCCACTCAGCGCCCCAGCCCCTCTCAACTTGGCATGTCAGTTATGAAAACAAACAAAAATGCTTGAGCCCTGCTCCTCTTTCATTACAAATTAAGCACTGGTCCCAGCCCCACTCGAAGAGGCTCAGGATACTTGCTTTCGTGGATATTCATCTGGCCCCACCACCATTTGTCTGAGCAGCTCTCAGTCTGTAATGTAGTTATCTTTGCACCACTGCTGTGCGGCGGGGGAGTACCATCACCCCCCTTTTACAGAGGAGCACAGAGAAAGACCAAAGCCAAGATCCTTAAAGATACGTAGGAAATTAGCTGGCTCTTTAGCCCACCATTTAGATGCCATGGACAGTTTCAAAGATGACACCTAACTTCGTAGGTGTCCACATCCCTTTCTGCCAGATGGCATTTGCCATGCCATGTAAGTAAGGAAACTATCTCGCAGCGAACAAGCTGCTCGGAGCTCAAGCCAAAGCAGGTTCTCAAACCTCCTTCCACACCAGCACCACACACACACCAGTCTTACCAGCAGGGCCCTTTCTCCATACGCATTCTCAGTGCACACCTGTTACCTGCCAGCCCCTGTATCAGGAGGGCTGGAGGCAGGTCAGTGTTAGGTCGAGGGGCAGCAGAGCACCCTCAAAAGATGTACAGAGGTACAGGGAAATGCAGGGGGCATGTGAGAGAGCAGGAGACAGGCAGGTTTGGCTGTTAGGGTGTGGGCTGCCTCAGTGACTGAGCTGGCTCCAGTGCCTCACTTCAGGAGAGGGTTCATCGCAGAGGATACAAGCAGAGAGAGGTGCCTATCTCAGGCCCATCAGCCAGGCACTCTAGGTCAGCTCCTTAGGTGCCTAAGCCCATCTCCTCTCCCCCTCGGTCACAGAATTTCATTCCTGGCTCACTTTGGTGGCTTCCAGCTTCAGAAAGCCCCTTCCCTAGATGCCTCCATCTCCCTGTGTGCAGTAGGCAAACCTGAGGGCCTAATTCTGGGCCAAGAATTCCACTGGCCTCTGAGGTGCCTAGGCCAGAGGCATTACACGGCTCAGCAGAGCCCCTGGGCCCCAAGCCACCCAAGAAGCTTATGACCAAGCAGAAAATTCAACCCAGCTCTGCCTAGTCCCAAACTGCTGCCCTAAGCATTGAACTATCATCATCCTCTCTGAATGAAAGCCAGGCCCATTCTCAGATGGGAAAAGTGACCTCACCCATAAAGCTGCTGAGCAAGGCACATTTTGTCATTCTCCACAGTTCTTGTTGTGATGGCTTCTGGGCTGCGACGTGAGAGAGAGAGAGAGAGAGACTGGGGGGTCCATCTCCTGATCTTGCTGGCTTTTCTGTAGGGCGGTAAAGCTCTGGCTCTGGCAAGCTACTTTGCATAGCACTGGACATAATTTGAATAGCTCGTTTTCTAACATGTCATGCTCCCAACCTTTTAGCAACCACTGCCTCATTCTGTTGGCCCTGCCTGTCTGCAGCAGGAAATGTTAATGGAGTTCATCACAGAGAGATATCTTTATAATTCTTTGGTTAACAGTACTCATGAAGCTGCAGTGGTAACTCAGACCAATAAGCTCTCCTCCTCCTGCAGAGAGACCCAAACAGAACCTGTTTATAAAACCTCAAACTGCAGGATGATAGCTGAGCTGTCTGCTGCCAACAACATTTGTTGGCACCAGATTTCTCATGAGCTGAGCTATGTGGTCCTATCAAGCCACTCAAAGAAAATTCCGCAGTTCCTAATAGCATTTGCTGAGTGATTTTGAAGCAACGCACACTTCTAAGTAGAAAGACATAATAGTATCGGCCTGAATTACAAGTAAGCAAACAAAAAAAAATCCAAAGTAGGTTTGCTGTATGCATGCCGTTGAGTCCCCTTCCCGGTTTTTGAGGCATTACAATTACATTGTCTTAGCTTTTAAAACACTTGGGCTATGTCTACACTCACGGCTTCTTGCGCGAGTAATACGCAAAAGAGGTTAAGTGTGGAATATCGCGGAGCCTCATTTGCATACCTAATGAGCCACCATTTTTTTTCAGAAGAGGCTCTTGTGCAAGAAGGAGCGTCTACACTGCCCCTTCTTGCGCAAGAAAAACCCTCTTGCGCAATGCCGTTACACCTATTATTACTTTTCAAGAAGAACGGCAGATTCAGTACATGTGAGCCATACTTATAATTTGCAAGTAATTATGATAGAGAGTGAGCAATTGGCTCTTAGTAGAGACATAAATGCCTGGCACCTTTTGGTGAATTATTAGACCTGACTCTGGCACACGGCTGGGCAAAAGGGCCTCCACAGGCCAGCTCTGGCCTGCCAAGCAGGTGGACCCTGCCCATGAAGTCCCTGCTGCTTCCCCGCCCCCAGGCCCTAATTGGCCTGGGGGCAGGGAAGCGTGCAAAGCCTCCTCCCGCCCTGCCAGGAGCACATGGTGCTTTGAAGGACTGTACACTGTTCGCAGGGCAGTGGGGGGAGAGCAGAGGAGGCTTTGCATGCTCCCCCGCCCCCAGGCCAATCAGGGCCTGGGGGTGGGGGAGCTGCATGAAGCTTCCTTTGCCCTGCCCAGGCCCTACAAGGGGCCCGCAGCACTTCAAAGTGCCACGTGCTCCTCACAGGTTGGGAGGAAACTTCCCGTGCTCCCCTGCCCCCAGATCCTGATTGGTCTGGGCATGGGGGAGCATGCCAAGCCTCTTCCAGGGCATGGATGCCTAGTGGGAAGGGAGGGGCAAAGGGGCTCCCCCACCCTCAGACCAATCATGGTCTGAGGGTGGGGGCCCCACCCCTTCCTGTTTAGGCCCCGCCCCTTCCGGGGTGGCCCGCAACTACTTCAAAAATTTTTGAAGTGGCCCCAGGGCAAAAATTATTGCCCACCCCTGCTCTGGCCGTAGACCTGACTCCAGGGGATCCCTCGTAAATGCCAGTTGGCACAAAGAGGTTTCAGAGTCATGCTGATGTTACGACTTGATTATTTGTCCTGCCGCTTACAGATAGAACAGTGGCTTGGGAGTCCATTCCAGTTTGAAAACAGAT